AGGCCGGATATAGTGAACGCGGGGTCCGGGGGAGGCCGGATATAGTGAACGCGGGGTCCGGGGGAGGCCGGATATAGTGAATGCTAAGTCCTGAGTTTAGTAACACTTTAAGGCCCCTTTCACACTGATCAGGTCCACCTGTCAGTTTTTCAGTTAGACCATCCAGAGACCTCCAAGGACTAGAAGGTGTCAGCAGACAAGTGCCTGTTGACACCCTCAGGCATCTGATCCGATCCTGTATGCCAAAAACAGACAGATGAGGATCCATTCCCCATCTGTCCGGCAGATCAGATGACAGCTGTGTGGAAAGGGACAGGTGGTCCGTCTCTATCCAACCTCCTCATAGGAAAAAGCAGGATTTGTCTGTGTCTGCCCTGCAGCAGCAGAGTGAACACTGGACTGTCATCCACTTGCTCAGCGGGGATCAGCCGAGAGATCCCCTGCTGAGCAAATGGATCTGCCCGTCTGAATGGGGCCTTACACTGACAGGGGTGCTTACAATGATCAGCTGTTATTTATGTAGAACCTTTACCTTTTTTTAAAAGCTGTTTGCTTATAAAGTGTTAGCTGGAGTTTGGCTTCAATATGTTAGTGTATTTAAATCTGTCAAATCCCCCTCCCCCCCCATTTGCCTAGACATGGACTTCAAGGGCCCATTTGCCCTGTGTGGAGTATTGTGGTGCCATTCTTTGTGAGTGCAAAGCAGTACAGTTCATTTAGTGGATAGGTTCACCTTTGGAACATGTTGTATGTACCACCCGTATTTAGCAGCATGTTCAGGTCCTATGTCCTCTCCTCTCTGTTCACTCCCTCCCTGTGAATAAATGCCTACAAGCACTGTCTGCCATTACGGCACATGGGCTTGAGGGGGCGCTGGTGAGCACTCTGATAGTCCATTGATTTTTCCTACAGAAACTGCCTGGCTGTACGAGGTGTGGGATGGACGGCTGTGCGGGGCATGGGGGTGGACGGCTGTACGAGGGGTGGGTGGACGGCTGTGCGGGGCGTGGGTGGACGGCTGTGCGAGGGGTGGGTGGACGGCTGTGCGAGGGGTGGGTGGACGGCTGTGCGGGGCGTGGGTGGACGGCTGTGCGAGGGGTGGGGTGGGTGGCGGCTGTGCGGGGGTGGGTGGACGGCTGTGCGGGGCGTGGGTGGACGGCTGTGTGAGGGGTGGGTGGACGGCTGTGCGGGGCGTGGGTGGACGGCTGTGCGAGGGGTGGGTGGACGGCTGTGCGGGGCGTGGGTGGACGGCTGTGCGAGGGGTGGGTGGACGGCTGTGCGGGGCGTGGGTGGACGGCTGTGCGGGGCGTGGGTGGACGGCTGTGCGAGGGGTGGGGTGGACGGCTGTGCGCGGCGTGGGTGGACGGCTGTGCGAGGGGTGGGTGGACGGCTGTGCGGGGCGTGGGTGGACGGCTGTGCGGGGCATGGGTGGACGGCTGTACGAGGGGGTGGGTGGACGGCTGTGCGGGGCGTGGGTGGGACGGCTGTGCGAGGGGGTGGGTGGACGGCGGCGCGGGGGCGTGGGGGGGCGGCGGCGCGCGGGGGCGTGGGTGGAGGGCTGTACTGCTTGTCTGCAGGATCCAGGCATCTCACCAGCGATCTGCTGATTACGGGTGCAGTGTAAAAAATAATAATAAATTGGCATTTTTGCCTTCCAAAAGATGTGCATTTATTATTTTTTTTAAAGCTGGATATAGCCTTTAACGGCAATTTTAACCGAGGGTCATACATTTTTTTTTCCTATCCATTAAGTGCGTTGGCAGTCTGTTCATAATGAATGGGCTGCCTTAAAGGAGAAGTACAGCCAAAGCTCTTTTGGCTGTACTTCTGTGGATCCCACGAGTGCAGTTCGTTCTGCACTCCTGTGATCTGTTTTCAACTGACAACGGGCTGAAAACAAAAATAATACATCTGACCCCTGCACCCTTAGACAAGCAATTTGTCCTTGCAGGGGGGAGGGGGGGAGGGGGGTCGGCGGCTCCACTGTGAGAGAATTTGTTCATTCCTAGAGTTCAGCACCTTAATGAACCACAATGGATTTCTTAAAGCTGAAACCTGTGTTTTCTTTCTTGTATCTTTCTGTGCTTTGTATATTTTTTTCAGATCTGTGCAGTAATCCAGTGTGAAACTTTGCAGCTTTCTGTAATAAAGACCGGTCACTGCCGCTATCTATTCTTGTGCAGGGTGACTGGTCTTGTCTCCGCCCCCCTCCTGTAGTGTTATGTAGGCAGCCTGTAGAGGGCGGGGCTCACTGGGGCTCTCCCACAGCTCTGCTCTCTGCCCAGGCTATGTACAGCACGGTGGTGTCACTACTACTTAAATGTGAAGAGGCCCTGAATATCTCGTGGTGATGGGTGGTATGAAGGGTCTGGTAATGGCATGGTACGTTCATCTGTCTAGTGGTTGAGTTCCTCCATAGTTAGAAGGAAGTACTGGGTATAGCTGTGCCTTGTGCGTGTCATTCCCTTCTATAGAAAGCCATTGTTCATAGAACTGGGTGTAAAGTCACATTCCTCCTACGTCCATTGAATTCTGTCATGTCGTTTATAAAGGAGCGTTCATGTTTGTTCCACTTGATCTTGTCTGACAGCTGAAGCTTTTCATTGTCCTTTAGTCTACTGACCATGATCTTCATTCAACCTGCAACTAAATTTGATTTCTCCTTGGACCAAATCCAGCCCAAATTGTTCTTGTTCAATGGATAGAGGGGCATGCATACTTCCTGCCAGATGCTGGAGCTTTCCCTTTACTTCCTGTTTGATGTCTGAGGAGACTCCGACCGTCCCCCACCCCCCACCCTTATGTCCTATTTGGGTGCCTGAAGAGACTTCCCCCTTTTCTCCTGTTTGGGTGCCCGAGGAGACTTCCCTCCCCCGTACGTCCTGTTTGGGTGCCCGAGGAGATTTTCCTCTTCCCCGTACGTCCTGTTTGGGTGCCAGAGTAGACTTCCCTCCCCGCACGTCCTGTTTGGGTGCCAGAGGAGACTTCCCTTCCCCGTACGTCCTGTTTGGGTCCCCGAGGAGACTTCCCTCCCCCGTACGTCCTGTTTGGGTGCCCATAGAGACTTCCCCCCCCGTACGTCCTGTTTGGGCCCCCGGTGCCTGTTTGGGCCCCCGAGGAGACTTCCCTCCCCGTACGTCCTGTTTGGGTGCCCGAGGAGACTTCCCTCCCCCGTACGTCCTGTTTGGGTGCCCATAGAGACTTCCCTCCCCCGTATGGAGACTTCCCTCCCCCGTACATCCTGTTTGGGTGCCCAAGGAGACTTCCCTCCCCCGTATATCCTGTTTGGGTGCCCAAGGAGACTTCCCTCCCCCGTACGTCCTGTTTGGGTTCCCGAGGAGGCTTCCCTCCCCCGAACGTCCCCCCTCCCCCGTACGTCCTGTTTGGGTTCCCGAGGAGGCTTCCCTCCCCCGTACGTCCTGTTTGGGTTCCCGAGGAGGCTTCCCTCCCCCGTACGTCCTGTTTGGGTTCCCAAGGAGGCTTTCCTCCCCCGTACGTCCTGTTTGGGTTCCCGAGGAGGCTTCCCTCCCCCGTACGTCCTGTTTGGGTTCCCGAGGAGGCTTCCCTCCCCCGTACTTCCTGTTTGGGTGCCCGAGGAGACTTCCCTCCCCCGTACGTCCTGTTTGGGTGCCAGAGTAGACTTCCCTCCCCCGCACGTCCTGTTTGGGTGCCAGAGGAGACTTCCCTCCCCGTACGTCCTGTTTGGGTCCCCGAGGAGATTTCTCTTCCCCGTACGTCCTGTTTGGGTGCCCAGGAGACTTCCCTCCCCCGTACGTCCTCCCCGAGGAGACTTCCCTCCCCTGTACGTCCTGTTTGGGTGCCCGAGGAGACTTCCCTCCCCCGTACGTCCTGTTTGGGTGCCCATAGAGACTTCCCTCCCCCGTATTCCTGTTTTGGGTGCCCGAGGAGGCTTCCCTCCCCCGTACGTCCTGTTTGGGTGCCCGAGGAGGCTTCCCTCCCCCGTACGTCCTGTTTGGGTGCCCAAGGAGACTTCCCTCCCCCGTACGTCCTGTTTGGGTGCCCGAGGAGACTGCCCTCCCCCGTACGTCCTGTTTGGGTTCCCGAGGAGACTTCCCTCCCCCGTACATCCCCAAGGAGACTTCCCTCCCCCGTATATCCTGTTTGGGTTCCCAAGGAGGCTTCCCTCCCCCGTACGTCCTGTTTGGGTTCCCGAGGAGGCTTCCCTCCCCCGAACGTCCTGTTTGGGTTCCCAAGGAGGCTTTCCTCCCCCGTACGTCCTGTTTGGGTTCCCGAGGAGGCTTCCCTCCCCCGTACGTCCTGTTTGGGTTCCCGAGGAGGCTTCCCTCCCCCGTACGTCCTGTTTGGGTTCCCAAGGAGGCTTTCCTCCCCCGTACGTCCTGTTTGGGTTCCCGAGGAGGCTTCCCTCCCCCGTACGTCCTGTTTGGGTTCCCGAGGAGGCTTCCCTCCCCCGTACTTCCTGTTTGGGTTCCCAAGGAGACTTCCCTCCCCCGTACGTCCTGTTTGGGTGCCCGAGGAGACTTCCCTCCCCCGTACTTCCTGTTTGGGTTCCCAAGGAGACTTCCCTCCCCCGTACGTCCTGTTTGGGTGCCCGAGGAGACTTCCCTCCCCCGTACGTCCTGTTTGGGTTCCCGAGGAGACTTCCCCCTTACGTTATTAAAATTTGAATGTAATAGCCCCAGTCAGCGGGAAGCAGCCTCAGATAAAGGAATGTAAGTTTGTCTTCAGGCTACATCAGGAGTTTGCTGCTTGCTCCGCCCACCTATTTTACAGTGCAGTGCCACACAAATAAATGGCGTCTCGTGACCACAGCATAGGGAAGAAAGGATGTACTTGAACCAATTCATTTCCATGTGTAGTACTCTGATTTTTTTCTGGTTTTAGGAACACTTTAATAATTTGATGAAAATTTGATTTTGTTGCAGTTTGTCCTGTAGTTTCGTATTTTCACGTGCATCCATTTGTTTTGTTTTTTTTGTTTTTTTTTTTTTTTTTTTAACTTTCTGCTTTTCTGTTTGACAGATTGGGCGGGAGCTACCGTATTGGCTGTTGGTGCAGCTGCTGTAGGCTATTTAGCATATAGATCTTTCTGCTGTAAAGACAAGTGCTGCAAAGCTATGGTAAACCAGGCGGTACAGAAGGACAATCCGAAGGTAGTTCATGCTTTCGACATGGAAGATCTGGGAGACAAGGCGGTTTATTGCCGATGCTGGAGATCAAAGAAGGTTAGCAGAAAAGTATAAGCCAATAAATGATATTGCTAAATGTGAATGCTGCTCAATATTGTCAGGAAAAGCAAAACTGCGTTCCAATATATTCAACCAGTGGTCGCCAAACTGCAGGCTGAATGGCAACTGAAGGGGATTCCAGTACAGAATCGGGGTGTTTTGTTTTCAGTGACTGTTTATGGGTCCCCTGGTTGAACCACCACCCTCCTGGGTGAAAAATAAACAATCCCACAATCCATTACAACCCCTCACCATGAATCCACTGCTGCTGATCTCTTTATTCAATAATAATCTTTTCATAAATCCTCACTTCCTCTATATTTGAGAGCCCTCCCCTTCCTCTCACCATGAACACCCAGCTACCATAGGGTACAGACCAGTCATGGGCACATCAGCTGTATGGGTGTGTTTTATGAATTGCCATTTATAAACGGCACTCCATAAATACATGCCCACCACCCTGGTGTTTGTAGTGAAGCAGTTAAGAAATCTAGTTGCGTGCTCTCTACTTTCTTTTATAAAACATATCCAATAAAAAAAATCCCATTTCTTCATAGATTTAGGCCAAATGTATTCTGCTACACATCTTTGGTTAAAAAACAAATCACAATAAGTGTATAATAACTGGTTTGTGTGAAAGTTTTATAGCGCCTACAAACTATGGTGTGTGAAAAACTAAAGGAACACTATGAAAACACAGCAGATCTCAATGGGGAAAAATATCATGCTGGATATCTATACTGATATGGACGGGGTAATGTGTTAGAAACATAAGGATGCCATCGTTTGATGGAAATGAAAATTATCAACCTACAGAGGACTGAATTCAAAGACACCCCAAAAATCAAAGTGAAAATATGATGCAGCAGGCTAGTCCATTTTGCTGAAATTTCATTGCAGCAACTCAAAACGGTACTCAGTTTGTATGGCCCCCACGTGCTTGTATACATGACTGACAAGGTCAGGGCATACTCCTAATGAGACGACGGATGGTGTCCTGGGGTATTTCCTCCCAGATCTGGACCAGGGCATCACTGAGCTCCTGGACAGTCTGAGGCACAACTTGGCAGCATCGGATGGACTGAAACATGATATCCCAGAGGTGTTCTATTGGATTTAGGTCAGGCAAGCGTGGGGACCATTCAATGGTATCGATTCCTTCATCCTCCAGGAACTGCCTGCATACTCTCGCCACATGAGGCGGGGCATTGTTGTGCACCAGGAGGAACCCAGGACCCACTGCTCCAGCGTAGTGTCTGACAATGGGTCCAAGGATTTCATTCTGATACCTACTGGCAGTCAGGGTGCCATTGTCTAGCCTGTAGAGGTCTGTAAGCCCCTCCATGGATATGACTCTCCAGACCATCACTGACCCACCACCAAAACTGTCATGCTGAACAATGTTACAGGCAGCATAACGTTCTCCATGGCTTCTCCAGACCCTTTCACGTCTGTCACATGTGCTGAGGGTAAACCTGCTCTCATCTGTGCAAAGCACAGGGTGCCAGTGGCGGACCTGCCAATCCTGGTGTTCAATGGCAAATGCAAATCAAGAATTGTGTGTGTGTGTCAGTGGTGGGAAATGTGGTGCTAACAGGCACTGGCCAGGAGGCACACTGGAATTGCTGGTGACATTAATACTTTGCTAATGACATTGGCTGGGCAGAGCTTAATATCAAGGGGCTAACTGTGTGCCTAAAATGTGTACTACTTTTACTTACTGATCTGCTGTTGTCTTTTTTTGTTTTGTTTTTCTCCCTGCTTTTCAAGGAGAAGAAACAGCCAGATCACTGTACTGTTCTCTGTTACACAGAACTCTGTGCTGTGATTGGAAATCTGCTGCCAAACTTGTGCTGGGTCCAATCACCATATGTGTCAGCTGAGGGGCACTAATGCACACCCAAAACCTGGAAGAAGGCTAGCAATGTATATGTATGCTGATGTGCCTGCTTACAATATATTTACTGTGAGAGGTTGGCAAGTGGTTAAGTCCAGGTTCACACTGGATCCGAGTTTGAAATCATGTGACTTCACACAATTTCAGAGCCGCATGTCAGTGTGGCTTCAGGTGTGACTTCATACACAGATGTCTAGGCAGGTTTCACCTAGAATTGCAAAAAATAGTGCAGGAACCTTTTTTTTTTTCTCCAAATCAATGCGGCACAGCAAAGTCAGAGTTTTGAACAGTTCCATTGCCTACAATAGGGTGCGACATGTCATGCTATTTGAAACTGTCATGGTGTGAACCAGGGCTAAGGTGCAATAAGATGTTGTTTGTTTGTTTGCTACTATTTGCTCTAATTGTATGTTTGTATGTGGTTTTTTTTTCTCCTAGTTCCCATACTGTGATGGCGCCCATACGAAACACAATGAGGAGACCGGTGACAACGTGGGCCCTTTAATCATCAAGAAGAAGGAATCCTAGATGGCGGGTTTAGTCTCTAGATACTAACGGTGATATTATGAACCCCAGCATGAAGGCAGAGGAATATTCTATACAAGGACCGCTGTCTGTGTCTCTGTCGTCTGCCTTAATTGTATAAGCCTGCAGTGGTGGAGGGTTTAGTATTTCTGTATCTGAATTGGAATCAGAGACTTCATATCCACTGTATGAATTGCCACTGTGTATACATTCAGTAAATACCTCTATAGTTTCCTGTTCCTCAATCTGTGATACACTGACATTGGAATGTAAAACGGATTTCATTAAATTTATATACAAAATTGTACTCAAATGATGTATACCAAGTCTACAATAGTGTGTTTGTGTATGTATGAATCAAAACCTATTTGGATTTGGCCTGAGGGTGGCTTATATTGATCTACTGTAAAATGCTGCAGTGGGAACAACATGCCAGGTGAAGGTGGTTCTAAACCCAAACCGCTTTTTACCTGAAAGTTCACCTTGGGGAACATGTTCCACCTGGTTTTAGGGTGGAAAATCTAACATGTTCCCATAGTTGCAGTTGCGCCCCCCACCCCCTCCTTCTGACAGTACGGGGAGAAGTTTCACCATACTATCTGTCAGATTTGAAAATAGCAGAGTTCTGTGAATGAGTGCCTACAAGTCCTGGCAGCCATAGCAGCTGTCGGCTTCTAGTTTTCAATGAACTACCATGATGCTATGGTGCGCCGTGGTAGTTCATTGAAGCTTTCTGTCGGAATATCTGCTTGACTGTACATCCCGTACGGCAAACAGATATTCTGACAAATCTGCAGGAGGCCTGCATGGTATCAGCGATCTACTGATCACTGGTGCAATGATTTCCAGGCTCCTTTTGGACAAAAAATAATAAATGCAAATGTTTTTTACCTGCAAAAAAATGTGCATTTATTGTTTTTGTCCAAAAGGTGAACTTATCCTTTTAATGTATTCCCTGCATTAAAGGAGTAGTGTGGGAAATAAATAAAACAAACGTACATCCTTGCCTACGTGACTGCAGCATTGATCAGATGCTGCATCTGTCCCTGCTGCCTCTAAGAGTGAAAACTGAGCGATCAGCGGTCATTTGATTGCTTAGTTCGCAGTCTTCAGTGAGCAGAGGGTGGTGACTGCTTTACTCGGTGCTCACTGGAGTGCAGAGCTGTGGAGGGGGTGAGAGCGGCTGGCTCAGGCTTTCGGCCACACGCTAAAAAGCTGAGCCAACTGCCGGTCAGGCATCTGAGTGGATCCCAACCTTAAAGTCGGGGATCCTTGCAAAGTCTGGACTGGCTCTGTGATGTCAGCTGACAGTAGGCTAAATCTGGGTCACAGAAGTGTAAAAATAATTGATCTCCTGTGACCCAGAAGAGGAGCATGCTCAAAAAGCTTTGGCCATACTTGAAGGTAAAGCCATACTTGACTCTCATGGAAACTCCTTTTTAATCTATACGAAATAATCATTCTTAGGCCAAAATGTTTTACATGATTGTATATTTAGAGTAAACATGGCTGCATCTTATTTACTAAGCCAAGTATATTTGTAAAGTGAGCAGTTACTCTTCTAGTAAATCTACCCCTTGATCTGTTGCACTCCGTTAGATCACTGTACAAAATGTAAACGTAGTGAATTTCATATTCAGATTGTGACATGTGTGGGCAGTTTATATATTTAAAATTCTCTGAAGCTTTATCTACCATTCTGGTTGAAATCGCAGTGATTTAACCACTTTTCACTGGGGCTACTTTAATTTTTCGCATGTGTTATATTTTCCAATTTTTTTATACAAATTATTTTAAACCCCCAAACAATTATATATTTTCTGAAAACCCAGGCGCTGTAGAATAAAATGATGGCAGTTGAATTTTTAAGTTGCACAATATTTGCATAGCTGTTATCAAATGGGTATTTTAACCACTTTAGTACTGCACTATAGCTGAAAGACGGCTACAGCGCGGCTCTTTTTTCTGGGAGGGCATCCATAGACATCTCAGAACCTTGCCCCCGGGGCGTGCATAGGATGTGCTCTGTGACCGCTGTCTCCTTTTGGACACAGCTGATCACAGTAAAGGGCCAATCACGTCAATAGATTTGCGGTTATCGGCAGTCTTTTCCTTACATGCTGTGTCTGTGTGAGGAAAAGACCGCCGATACCCAGCAAGTCTGTCAGTACTTTGTTTACAATGATAATCAGGACACTGATCATCAGTGCAGCCTCATCAGTACACATCAGTGATCAGCCATTGAAGACAACTTGGGGTTTATTTACTAAAGCTGGAGAGTCCAAAATCAGACTCCCTTCTGCATAGAAACCAATCAGCTTCTAACCTCAGCTTGTTCAATGAAGCTTTGGCAGTGAAACCTGGAAGCTGATTGGTTTCTATGCAGAAGGGAGTCTGATTTTGGACTCTCCAGCTTTAGTAAATAAACCCCCTAGTGTCTTTGATCACTAGCCACAGCAGTTAAATTACACCATTCGAGTGCAGCTATTCAGTGTCCTTGATCCCTGCCACACCCGTTCCAATGTTCCCAGATCAGTGTAAAACAACAAAAGTGTTTCTGAGTGCTGTCCCACCAGTACTACCATCATCAAATAATTGCAAGCCAGCAACTGTGATCCTGATGACTGACACAGCCGTACAGTGTCTCAAGACCAGTGTAAGCTAGCAACAGTGTTCCTGACCACCTCCACATCAGTCCCAGTGTCACCAGATCAGTGCAGCCAGCAACAATGTTCTTGATCAATTCCACACAAGCCCCAGTGTCACCAGACCACTGCAGTGTTCCTGATCACTGCCACACGAGTCCCAGTGTAAGCTAGCAGCAGTATTCCTGATCACTGCCACACCATTACTAGTGTCATCAGTAGAGATGAGCGAAGTATTCAAAAATTTGATTCGACTGATTCGGCGAATTCGTGGAAAAATTTTGATTCGAGTTGAATATATTCGCTGCGAATTTAACTTATAAAAGGGTGTTTCTAGGCTTCAGAGAGCCTTTATATTAGTGCAGAACACTGTACCTTTAATTTAAATGCCCTTGGAGTCTCCTGGGGAAGAGAAATAATACTGACAGTCAGTATGACATGCAGATGAGTGCCGTCGATCTTAGAATCACTGCACACTTCACTCATTTGGGCAGTCACGGGGCCAAAACCAGAGTGTGGAGCCACAGTGTGGCGGTGGAGGCAGCAGCAATGGGAGGCCATACAGCACCCTATGACAAAAATGGAAACCACCAGCAGTGTGAGGAGACCTGAAAGTGGCACATGGCAGAGTGTGGCGATGGAGACAGCAGCAATGGGAGGCCGTACAGGGACCCATGGACACACTCTGGGCCTGGCAGCAGCATGAGGAGGCGGTACAGGGGCCCATGACAGATTACGGGCCTGGCAGCAGCATGAGGAGTCGGTACGGGGGCCCATAACACACTCTGGACCTGGCAGCAGCATGAGGAGGCGGTACACAGGGCGCATGACAGATTACGAGCCTGGCAGCAGCAACTTGGACAGGAGGACGTTCAGCTTCTGCACCGTCGGGTGCGTGCTCGCAAACTGTTGTCTCTTGGAAACGGATTCCCAAGAAAGACTGCTGACGGGAATCCGTGAAGAGGAGTAGCAGGAGAAGGAGCATCTGAACGAGCGGAATATGCCAAACAAGCGACAACAGGGGCCCATGACAGATTACGGGCCTGGCAGCAGCAGCATGAGGAGTCGGTACGGGGGCCCATGGCAGATTAGGGGCCTGGCAGCAGCTATGGGAGGCCCGTAATCTGCCAGCACCCTATGACAAAAAATGGAACACACCAGCAGTGTGAGGAGACCTGAAAGTGGCACATGGCAGAGTGTGGCGATGGAGACAGCAGCAATGGGAGGCCGTACAGGGACCCATGAGAGACTCTGGACTTGGCAGCAGCATGAGGAGGCGGTATAGGGGCCCATGGCAGATTAGGGGCCTGGCAGCAGCTATGGGAGGCCCGTAATCTGCCAGCACCCTATGACAAATAATGGAACACACCAGCAGTGTGAGGAGATCTGAAAGTGGCACATGTTTGGGGCATGATTCATGGCGGATTTAGTCAGTTGTGTTAGGAACTGGTGGTTTGAAATCCAGACTAATCCACGCCTGATTCATTTTCACAAACGTGAGGTCTCTCCACACTTTGGGTGGACAGTCGTGTCCTCCGCGGAGTTACAATACCTCCTGCCGCACTAAACACGCGCTCCGATGCCACGCTACTGGCCGGGCATGACAGCCTTTCAACGGCAAATTCAGCTAGTTGGGGCCAAAGGTCAAGTTTCGTTGCCCAGTAGTCAAGGGATTGTCTACCTCGGTTGGCAGGGTGCTGTCCAAGTAGGCCTAAGCCTGTTTGTTTGAGGTCCTGCTCCAGGTCCACCTGATGCTTGCTGCTGCTGCGGCTGGTTAGTAGTTTCCTCACTGCGCTGGTGAAGAAAGCTACTCATCATCGACTGCAACTGAGGCAGCCGCTGCTGGTGGAGCTGCCATTGCTCCTACCACCACCCACCCCTCCCCTGCTGCCATGGCAGCGGAACGCGAGCGCACAGGGCCCACAGTGTGTCTGAGGATGGACGTTGGCGCAGAAAGGCAGAGACCAGCTGACTACACATAGGTGGTTTTTATAGTACGTTATTTTGGCCTCCCTCTCAGCAGGTGTGAAAAAAGGCCACCATTTTTGAACGGTAGCGAGGGTCCAACAAGGTGGACAGCCAAAAGTCATCCCTCTGTCTGATGGTTATTATTCGGCTGTCGCTACGCAAGCAAGCGAGCATGCTATGGGCCATTTGTGCCAAGGAATGCGAGGGACTCCCTGCCTCCATCTCCACAGCATACTGCCACGGTGCGTCGTGCTGGGTCCTCTGTCTCCTCCTCCTCCTCCTCTACCAGATGCTCCTGCTCCTCCACTCCTGTCCCTGAGTGGAAAAACCACCCATTTCACTCAATAATTCCTGAGCACCAATGTCCTCCTCTACCTCCTCCTCTTCTTC